TTTACACAAGTTCCACCATTTGCACATCCCAGAAGGCAGGCTGCAAAACAATTTTCGAATCATCATTATTAAACAACATGTACAATAACATAATTGTGAAAAAATTTTGAAAAAGTTAAAATTTAATAAAATGAAAATTAACAAAAATTAAAAGTATTGTAATCGAAACCAAACGCTAACCAAATTTGGGTGATATCATCTGAAGAATTTTATTTAATTATTTAGGATTGATTTTAAATTACACGCAGTATTAATGACAAGACCTAGGCATGCGTAAACATTTCCAGACATTCATCATATTCTAATTTGCAATCCATGGCAACCCAATTAGCAATTAGAACATATCGAAAATGAAGCAAGGAAAGTAGGAAACTTTGTTTATGTGCCGTTTTCACGATTAGATTTAGTTGCAGTTTCGCGACTTAGATCTTAGATCTGAGCCTTTCTCACGATGACGTTTTGGGGTACTTTCAATTTTCTGAAATGGGTTTAAAAAATATGATTTAACATGAAAAGCAATTTTTTTAGAATCAACAGACCATTTGAAGAATAAATTCCACCTAAATAAAAATAGTCGCCGTTACGAGGTCTTACGCTTACGGTTTTGAAAAAAAGTACCCTAAAATTGGCGGGATATTCGTCATCATGAGAAATGCTAATTTAACTATTGCCAACGATAAAAACGTTACGGTTTTTCTGAGTGTTGCGCTGTTTAAATTCCTCAGGGAAGTTATACCTTGACTTCTTTTTTGGGTATTTTGCCCAGCCATTCTGTTTAATGCCACGAGACGGTCAATATTATCATCTGCTGTTTGGAAGCTGGAAAAAATAGAATGTCCGAGAGCATTGAATTACATGTAAAAAAGAATTAGGATTCGGGGAGTTTTCCTAAACCCGAGGTAACGTTGTGGCAGGGAAACCCAAAAGAAAAACTAGTCAAACATTGACCCGTACTAGAATTTTTTTTTCTGAGGGCATGGGTCTTTGGGTCTTATAAACTTTGTGGGCATGGGTCTTCTAAACTTTGATCACAAATTGTACAGGATTAATATTCGAAGCAATTTCATCAGTGCAGGTACTTTCGTTAAGCGATTTTTTACTGTTTGATTAAAAGCAAGACGATTTATTTTGCCACGTTGCTGCCAAAAATTATCGTCCAATTTTTTTTCATTTCATAGTTAAAACGCGTCAAACGGGCACAAGAGCAAAACCTAAGTGCGATTCAGAGCCATAGGGTTTGGCTGTTTTTAAAACCTCTATACCACCGCGGTCTGAAATTTCAACTAAAACTTCTTTCAACTTCTTTGGAGCATTTCTTACTTTTAAGCCCAAAGCTATCTTTAGTTTTACATTTGAAATATTCAATAACTGTTTTCATTAGCACAGGTAAAAAGTTTTACTAAGCTAATAGTTGAGCTTCTCAAATCTGCTTTCCAAAAATACTCAACTCAAAATATAGCGAAACAGTCCATTGGCTCTTCACATAAATTTTTACTTAACTATTGAAAGAGTTTAAATTTTTCGCCGTATACCTTTCCCCTTCAGCAAACAGGCGACTCTTCCAGATATCGTGCGGGACAATCATAAATATCAGGCACAAAACGCCCAATTTCTGGTCCACCATGACGCTTTGAAGAAACGACGCTCTTTATAACTTCACGAACAGCGTTTTGTTTTTTGTTTTAAGCTTTAGTCGACTTTTTTTCACTTTGATATTAAATTGAATTCAATTTCAACAACCCTGCTTTGCTCCGACTAATCTTGCACGGAGCGTGAATGGTTTGATATGAAGCGATATGCTGACGTTTACAGCTAAAGTACAGCCCAATTTAATTAGTGCGAGAAATATTTTCTGCTATACAATCGGTTTCCAGGAGACGTGCTTAATTTCGCATTCTAAAACGGCTCGAATTAATTAGTCAGCAGTAGTCATGGCACGCTATAATCGAAGTGTGAAATATTCTAAAAACGACGGAGACCATATTATCTTCAATCCATTTCTCTGTGCGGGCGAAATGTTTACTTTTACCTGAGGTACAAATTTAAGCTTCCCAAACACCCGCCTCCGATGAAGCTATACCACGAACCAAACTTTGTAGTTGAAAGTTTGAGATTTGAAGGTCAGAGACAGAGTCGTAAATGTATGGTAAGCCACTAAATATTTGCTTCTTAATGGCAAATTAGATGCGGGGGCAAGCGAGTCTGGAATAATTGTAATCGAGCCATTAACCGGCCAATGTTTTGTATCACGAATATTGAGGTTCAAGAGATGGTGGGTGCATGCATACATTTTGCCCAAATCCATGCAGACATGAAGGACTGTCATAAAAAGAGTTATTCGTGGCGTTTTGTTTGCAAAGTATCAGGTCATAACTTAACTTTTTTTGTCGATCGCCCATTCCAGCCATCATTCTGAGACTTACAAAATGGCATATTTGCAAGTCGCGGTTATGCCTAAAAAGAGCAGGGAATATCGTTCCCCTTACGGAACCTTTGTGGGTATCTATCTGAAGCATTTATGCCCCATCCCCGAAAGGGTATACCCTTCCTAGAAACATTTTTCTAAAATGTGCCCAAATTAATACATATTAAAAATTATTATTATCCACGGCGAATGCATGCAATAACGGCTAAATGATTAAATGAAGTTTCAGTTTCCAGGCATCTGCCACATGAGATCAAATAATTGAAATTTGGACGAAAATTTTTCCCACAAACTTTTTAACTCTACTTTTCATCGCAAAATCAAAGCCACAGACTTATTATATTAATTTTAAAAACTTTGACTTTGTTATAGCGTTGACTTAGAAGTTATTCTCATAAAGCTAATCAGGTTTGCCAAATTTTCGGCGAAGAGTCGTTACTCGCAAATATATTATGTAAAGTTTGGTTTGAACCAGAGTTTGGTTTCAAAGTCAGAGTTTGGTTTAAACAGAAATGGTTTGAACAGTATTTTTACCTAATGAAACATTGAAAATGCCACAAAAGTGCATCAGTTAGGACACCAAAAGTGAATAAAATAGTCGGATAAAATATAGCTTTTATATAAGGCAAAATAAGTGAAAATCCTGAACGCGTCAGCAAGTGAATAACTAAAAAACAGATGGCCTGACTTTGTTACTTCAATTAGAGAAACGGTCTTACTAGTAATACAGATTTTCAGGCCAAAGGGGCGCTGATTTTGTTCACAATTTCGCCATTTGCAATAAAACAATCTCTAATCACAATTGCATTAACATGCCAACGTAGCCAAACTAATAATAAGCCCACTCAGTAATAGCGGTATATCACATTTTATTCATCAAGTACACGTGCTTCACATAATTTTTTCACGTGCACAAAAACAGGTAAAATGAAAGTATTTTGTTTGCTTGTTTAAACAATTGTTTGAGAGCATTTAAACCACACACAATAGTAAAAAAAATTAAGCCCGGTTTACGTGCCACGGAATGGAGAATTAGCTACTGTACATGTCTGGGCCAAAACAGACAGCATTAATTGTTTCATTATTTTGTCTCAGTTCTGGACAAAGCCAGGTGCGATAATACACAAAACACCTTATGTCCGTTTGGGTCAAGACGATATTTCACTAAAGTTGTTTGAAAGGCGTTTAGCTTTTTTTTTAGCCACAGTTTGAGCTAAACGCCTTTCGAACAACCGGACACAGGACTTTACCTGCATTGAAACGAGCATTAAACCAGAGTTTATACAGTGCGAGTCAGTGTCTGTCTTGAGTCGCCATATACAGTTTACGTAAAAGAGTATTCAAAAATATTCCTCCCTCTTTTACGACAGTATTTTTCGAGAAATCCCTCATTTCTTTGAGAAAATTATAAAAGCTCAGCTAAGGAAATAAAGTTTGTTTAAAACTGTTTATTATAGCCAAGGTTTCGTTTTCCCGGGCAGAGTAACGACGGCGCTGATTGGTCAATTCCGAAATCATGAGGTGATGATTGGTTGAATCTGAAGATCAGGGGGGGAGGATTCCCCGCTGTTACATAACTGTTTGCCAAGTACTGAAATACTCAATGTATAGTTCAATGATGTAGCCTTGTACAAAACTACAGAATACTTAGGTGATACAAATTTAATGACATTCTAATTGAACTAATTAATTATTCTAATTAAGAATAGTTAATTTACAATGTAACAGTTTAAAATAAGCATGTTACAAAATTACAGAACTCTGCATTATACAAATATTTATTCTTAATGAACTGATCTGAGACCACACAACATTTTGATGAACATGCATTTGCAATGGAACATTTTAGAATTGCCCACAATGCTGTGCCACCAAAACTTAACTACAACAGTGCGAACAAGTACATCTAAACCACAGGGAACAGTTGTTCAAAAGTAACTTAACCGAACCCTATCTTAACTCAAAATATTACATCAATTTTTTTAATCACCTATTTATAAGGTTGAATATGTTTCACCATAAATATATTCTGGATCAACAGAAGTCTTATTTCGGAAGTTTTGAAAGGAACAGCAAAAAATAACCAAAGCTTGAACAACTGGTCTTTAAACACTAACAGACATTACTATACATAACCCCAACACACTTGATATATACTTTCTAGTTTTTGAAAGAATTTATACATGCATATACATTTTTTAATATTTTTGACGCATTGCTTGACAAAGAACAAGCAAAATTTAAATTCAAAAATAAACAACAACCCTTACAAACATTGGACATATATGTACAAGGAATTATACAATCACAATTCTGGGTTACATTCGCAAAAAAAGCATTCCACCAAAAAGCATTCAAAACAGAAAAAAAAATACAAGCTTGAGCTTGTCCTTCAGGAGTTAACTGATATTTTGGTTTAACTTTCAAACATGTTTGTTAAAGAAGCCAGTTTTTCAATGAAAGCTACATTATTACTCAAATTCTAAGCCTCGAGGATGTTTAAATTTCTTTCAAGCTATGAGCTCAGCCTGTGTATCACAATGTATATGTGATGGATATATCATAGTGATTCCATCTACAAGTACATTCCGTTTATTAGGTAATCTGCATCATCCGTCAGGAATGCTTTGGTACGCCGTCTTCTTGATGTCTTCAACCGGAAAATAATTCCCAAAAGCAAAAGTAATGCCAACACAAGACCAATAGCCAATGGGATAACAGCTTTGTTTTCCTGTATATTCAATCGCTTGATGACCACATTGCTGACGTGAGACTTGGTCGCAGGTATCCTCGCCGTGCCTAAGCAAATAAGAAAAATCATCTGGCATGAGATAGGGGCAAAAGAAAAAAAGTTAGTGTTTAGAATTAGTTCCTAATTTGTTACAATCCACAGATGCTATAGTTTGTCAACAAGCAGAACTCTTATGTTAATATAGATTAATCAATAGAACTATTCTGTTGATTAATGCTTATAATGTAGAAAGTTTTAACCCAATAAGTGGCATAGCAAACCTGACAATTTTGTCTCGCTATGTAAATATCCGGTTATTAAAATTATATCCTTAAAAATGTATTGTTTTTAAAGTCGACAAGCACCAAAATATTAGCATAGCAGAAAAAATCACCAGGCCTGCTGCCATACCATACCAGAATTTGTTTTCAAATTTCAAATTTTATAGCTAAGTAGAATATAAGGCAATAGGACTTAATGGATCAAAGCTACATATTTTTTTCTGCTAAATTACTAAAATGTATTCCTACTTATACACACGGGGACTTATTCTTCATGCTGGCAAACACAGTTAAAATCATCCGGTAAATATACAGAACTCACCTTTTGTAGTTCTCAAAAAGGAACCTTTTGTGGTTCGTGGCCTGGTTACTGGTATCTTTCCTCCAGAAGAGGCTGTTGTTGTTTTGGGATTCCTTTGAGGCTCATCAGGAAAATCTGGATTGTTATCAACAAACACTCTTCGAGGGAAGTCCTCATCTTCATCTACAGCTGCTGTCGTCTGAATGCGACTGTCCATGGTCTTTTTCTCATTGGAATCCACGTCTTTTGAGTGATCATAGGATCCATACTTGCTGTAGTCTTCTGTACTTTTAGGAAAACTACTATTCGGGGCATGAGTACCCTCCCTGTCAGATTGATGTGTTGTGGATAATCTGTCGATTTTTTGCTCATCCAACCACAAGTGTTTTGGTTTGCTGGTGGAATAAAACCAAGTTCCCCTTTTGTATGGTTTTCTTGTTTTTGTTGCAGTTGGTGCCGGGGCTTCTGTGGTTATTTCTGTGAATGTATTGGGCTCTAAAAAGCAAACACAAAACATTCTCAACATTCTCATTGTGATAGTGTTACTAACTGAACAACCAGCAGCAAAAATTATCTTGACCTTTGGTTTGCTAGTCCAATGCTCTAGTAATTGAAGTAGTTCCTACCATATCGGTGCATCTTTAAGTTTTAAGGAAATGGTTGTGTGTGTGACTCGGATGAATTAACATTGTGATGGTGTGTCCCTACTCTGAGTGTCGAACTGATTACACACTGGTCCATCACAATATCAAATTTACCCAAGTCACACAAACAATCATTAAAAAACATTCTCATTTGATCCTAATGTAACCTTTAGCCATTCATTTGTGTTGCTCTACGAATACCAGGTGATATAGTGTGTGTTAGGAAAGGCCCCATTGCGAAATATTATAGCTTAACTGTAGTTCTAAAACAATGCCAATTATGATAGGTTTACAAATAGAAAGTAAATGCAATGTCTTCAAATGAATTAAAAACGTTAGGCTTCGTTAACCATAAGGTATGAGAGTCAATATGCCGTGTCCCTGGTTTAAAGCTGTGCTAATAAAAAAAGCGATATATTAAAGACCTTTTTTATAGCATCAATAGTCAATACAGTTTCCGTTGATTGCGACTAAATTCCGATTCATTTTATATACATGTTTTAAAAATTATTGAACAACATATGCGCTCATTTGTACATTTTGATATAACATTCAACTACGCCTACAATTCATCTATATTTAACAGCAAAGATTTTAGATTTTGTCAAGGCGATTATTGTGAAGAAAAATTAGTTGTGACTTAAAGCTTGTATACCTTTGAATTCTGAATCCTTGCTTTGATGTTCAGACGAATGCCATTGTGATTTTCTGTCTTCGAATTCAAGAGCAGCGTAGCTATGGTAGGACGAGTGTTTATAGAAGTTACAGACGGACGGTGATCGACAGTTGAACATGAAACAGCTAACTTTCTTTTCAAAACTTTCCGTGTCGTATTTTAACATGACCAAATTACAGCCATCTTTCTTGCAACACAATTCGTGACAGCCACGGGCTGAAGACATGATCTTCTTACCCAAAAACTCGGCTCCATTACGTACGGACTGTTGCGTTTTAATAATCGTCGATCTTCTTATCTGAAACTTTGGGCATTTGTCGACATACGAACGTGAATTTTCGCATTCAACACTCGCGAGGCCCAAAACAAACGCCACTGTAACCAAACCTAGTTTCCACATAAACATTTTGCCTTTTGTTTGATAAGTTATAGCATTCGTAGGGTATACTTCTGGACGTTTACATTACCAAAATTTTCTTAGATCCGCACAAGAACACGTAATATTGAAGCAAAAATCTCATTTACATAACAATAAATTTATAATCTCCGGAAAAGAAGCAGGCATATGGCAGTGTTGCGGGTTAGCTTCGTTCCGATTACGGATCCCGATGGCATCACGATATAAACCGGCAAATAGTTAAAACAACCTTTGATGAATGGAAAATATCAATTCGTGGGAGGCAAAACAACAATACAAGTGTACAAAGGTCATTCTTCTAAAAACGATCGCGGTTTTTTGGCATTTATCACTAATCTTTGTTATTTTTTCACCATTGCTCCACAGGCAGGTAAGAAGGTCTCCAATTCCAATTTCCGTTAAGGTATTTATATTGCTATGAAGCTACACCAGAACGGTATAAAATGCACAAAAAGTCTTAGTCTTTTACTATATATATAAAATAGAATGCACAAAAAGTCTTTTACATTCCCAAATAAGGCATAGGTACAGTTGGAGAAAATTGTTGGAGCATACAATTCTATAATACTTTGTTTCCATGCTAGTAAAGGCCATAATGTAGATAAAGTGACAAAAAAATGCCTGTTCAAAGGTAGTATTTTGCTCTGTTTAGTGTAGTAGGTGTTATTAGGTGAATGCCTCGAAAATTTTGCAAATTAATATAACATCTGGCAGATAGGGAAAGAATGTGTAATGGAATTTTGCAAAAAAACACCACGCTGAAACCCAGGCAACTCCCTTTAAAGTTCAAAGCCTGCCAGTATTATTCCAATCAAAGCAGTTACGCATCCATATGCAAGGAAAACATATCCTGTAAGAATTTCACAACATCATTTCACTAGACCTACAGCTAAAACATTCATTTGTCTGATAACAGCCTGTGGAGAGACAAGATTAATTTTATGTTTGTTTCGATTAGAAGTGCAATGGCTTATGTCCGTGTTTTGGGTGGAATCGCAGTCCTAGGTGGAGGCTGTCTGGCTTATGCAGCTGTGCAAAGCCGTCATGTAGGTTTCCGCATGAAAATCCGATTATGTTTTTATCATTCTCTTACTCCAAAAAGTGTATAGCATCTCTGTGTATTGAATGTTATTGGGGTTAATTGTTGTGTCTTACGTAAATTTTTCAGAGCATATCAATTGAATATCACGACTTGGACACTGCAATAAAATTAGGTGAAAAATTAACACCTTTACCTTCAAGGTAAAAACATACGAGGCATATTTATCTATTAAGGCATCCAGATCTCAAAGGTCTGTCTTACAGGGGGAAGGGGTCTACATACCCTTTCCCCCACCTAACAAGAACCTTTGATGGGGTGTTGTTGATCTTCCCCTCCAAATCAACACTTGTTTTAATCCATGGTGTCCTCACAGGAATAACCAACTTCAAAGATTAAAGGAGACCAAAGAGTTTGATGTCTTGGTGATTGGAGGAGGTGCTACAGGTTGTGGGGTTGCCTTGGACTCTGTCACCAGGGGTGGGTACATACCTAATAGTTGAAAATTACCATCATCCGCAGGGTAACATGGGTTAGAGAATGTGGTTCTAGGTGTGTGATCTTTGCACATACATTATATAGGTCTGAAAACTGCCCTAGTTGAGAAAGATGATTTTGCCTCAGCCACAAGCAGTAGAAGTACAAAACTAATCCACGGCGGCGTTCGATACCTACAGAAGGCTGTTTTCAATCTCAGCTATGAACAGGTTGAAAAGAGATTGGCTTTTGATTGTTTCAAAAAAAAACTCTTTTCAATCTCAGTTATGAAGTCAGGTTGAAAAGAGATTGGCTTTTGATTGTTTCACAAAATCATTTCCTTGACACTTTTTTTCTCCCACATTCAGTTCAAACTCGTTACAGAAGCGTTACATGAACGTGCAAACATGTTGCGAAGTGCTCCACATTTAGCTCAACCGTTGCCCATAATGTTGCCTGTATATACGTAAGTAAAACGAAACCAAATAATTTTAAACAGAGGTAATGCATAATTACGTTACTACAAGGTGTAAGCTCGCGATCGCAATATTAAAAGAGGCCGCATTTTACCTCACTTAACAAATTAAAAGTTCACAGAATTCGATTATTCGAACAACGGCTACCACGTGTAGTAATGGGATCCCCCACAAAAACAATGAAATAATTTGAAACCTAGGCCAGCAGGGATAAACCGCAAATTACGTGTATTTCAAGATCATTTTCCGATCCAGAGAGACCAACAGATTGAGGTTCACACTAGAGAGTTTTGGAGAGATTCTGGCACAAAGGACAATCCACAATTTTTCCAAACCATTTCTTTTCTAGGTGGTGGAAAGTTCCATATTTTTGGACCGGGATTAAAATGTACGATTTAGTGTCAGGAAAACAACTCCTACATCGAAGTTATTATGTTGGTCAAAAGAAAGCGTTAGAATTGTTCCCAACTTTAAAAAGAAAGGATTTGTGTGGGGGAATTGTGTATTACGATGGTAAGAATGAGATTACCCAAGAGAGATAAGTAGTCCACAACGAAACAAACTCAATGAACTGTTTTTGTAACTCCAGGCCAGCAAGACGATGCTCGTATGAATGTCACTATCGCGTTAACTGCTGCGCGTCATGGGGCTAGTGTTTGTAATCATACTGAAGTAGTTAGCTTGTTGAAGAAGAAGATTACCAAAGGTAATTTGCGTTTCCTTATGAAATGTACTCTTCAGGTATGAGATATCTTTTTCAGACACACATCATGTTTGAGATATCTTTTTCAGACACAAACCACGACAAAATAAGCTATTGTTAAATACTACCTACACTGGACTACAACATTTGTTCGTACATAACACCATGGTCGCTTTCTGTAGAATACCAGCAAGTACCAACCCCGTACATCTAAAACGATATTTCACTCTTACCCATTTCCCCCTTATATCAGATGGTGTAGAGAAAGAAATCGTGTGTGGCGCGCGTGTACGTGACCAGTTCACGCGCGAAGAGTGGGATGTCCACGCAAAATGCGTGATCAATGCCACAGGACCATACACGGATGATGTAAGGAGAATGGATGATGCATCAAGACCCAATATATGTCAGCCAAGTGCTGGTGTTCATATTGTATTACCAGAGTATTATAGGTATGATTTAGGCGATAGAATATAGGTTTACAGAAAAAAGGAGAGTAAAACCCAACAAAACAGGCTACATGTAGGCTAGAAAGAGCATCTTGGAAAAGGCTAAAAAAATGACGCTGTGAAGTTAACGAATGAACGTGGTAGATATATTTGTTAAACGAGAAAAAAAACTTCCTGCTTAATAAAGGATATTTTACCCTCATCAAACAAATATATACAAGTTTGTGAACTACACAACGATCTATTTCCATGTTTCACATCATTTCAAAAATGCTCTTTCAGCTTTGATGTTAGGTTTCCACTTTAAAAGAAGCGACCGAATCTGAAATATATAAGCCAGTAAGATTTCCTTTCATTCGCCAAAGAGAATGCATCTTTCCTATCATATTTTGCTTCCACTTGTTCAATTCTTTAGTCCTCGAAACATGGGCTTTCTCAACCCAGAAACTAGCGATGGACGGATAGTGTTTCTACTTCCTTGGGAAGGTAATGCTCGAGTTTTCATTTGAAGCCATGCACTGCTGTTAGAACTGTTCTGTCGCACAATATTTCTTTAGATATGTCAAGATAAATCATGTAATAGCCTTTAGCATTGTCTACGCCTATACACCTATAGTCATGCACAACCAAAACTTCATTTATCCAGGCAGAACGGTAGCTGGAACAACAGACACACCGACCAAGTTAACTTTTCATCCAAAGCCGACGAAAGCAGAAGTTCAATTCATTTTAGACGAGATCAAAAGTTATCTAAGCGAAGATATCACAGGTTAATGATATTTTTTGCTTGTACAAGCGGTTTGATCAAACTTCGACCCATTCAGCTTGCCAGCTCGAGTGAAGCTTTGCGGCTATTTCGAGGCCTTCCTTTCCTTTTAGCTAGGTGGATCTGCGATACTTTGTCAAAAAGTTGAAAACACAACAAGTTGCCTTGAAAAGGCAAAGGCATAAGTCTGCTTTAAGTTTTTTTGTAACTATTTTGGGTGGACATACCAGCTAAAATAGCTGAGACTCTCAACCAGAAAAGTTTAGGGCACTCGTAAAATGAATATTGAAGGGGCCAGGGTGGCGGCCAAACACAATATATTTAAAAAGACATTCATTTAACACGATTATTTTTCATCGTTAGTTCGAAACGAAGACGTCCTAGCCGCGTGGAGCGGCATTCGTCCGCTGGTCAGAAACCCGAAATCGAAAAAGACCGAAGAACTCGCGAGGAACCACGTTATCGACGTGAGCGATGGAAATTTAGTGACGATAGCGGGCGGGAAATGGACAACGTATAGGTCCATGGCTTCTGACACTGTTGACGAGGCCGTGAAATGCTGCGAGCTGAAACCGGAGTTTACGAACTGTCAAACAGATGGTTTGGTGTTGGAAGGTGGGGAGGGGTACACCCCTAACCTTTATATCAGACTGGTTCAGGAATATGGTGTTGATATGGAGGTAGCTAAACACCTTACACATTGTTATGGAACTAAAGCAGTCCAGGTTTGTAAAGAGATCACTGGCCCTGGGAAAAGACTGGATGAAAGTTTTCCATATATCGAAGCGGAGGTGAAGTTTGCTGTTCAAGAATACGCGTGCACCATCGTGGATGTTCTCGCGAGACGCACACGACTCGCGTTTTTGAACGTCGAGGTCGCGCGCGATGCTGTCCCACGCGTGGCCGAGATTATGGCAAAGGAACTGGGATGGAGCGGATGGAAAAAACAGGTAAAAGGAAGTCCACTTTGGGTATCAAAACTCTGAACAGATTAGTTATTTTACAATTTTGATGGTTTTGCCAAGAAAATGTCTTTCTCTCTGTGAGTGTGTGGTTTGCGAAAATTCTGCATCCCTTCTAACCTTTTTCACAAGAAATCACGTCAATTTTTAACGTTGAACCATATGATTAAAAAAAAAGACTGAAGAGTTGTTTTTCAATTCTCATTTCCAGGAAGAGGTCAAAAAAGCGGTGGAGTACTTGGAGCAAATGGGTCTGTCTTTACGGGACGAATAAAGATTGTCCTAAATTCTAAATATATTTTATATGAACCAGAGCAACGGGAGATATTGCGTAGAAAAGAGGAGCAGAATATCAAAAGTGTGTAAATTTATGTACACAACTCTTACCAGTAAAACTGGTGACAGGTTTGATTGTCAAGCCGTGTTAAATTGTAGTTAAAACGTTTTTAAACCATGTTTGAAATAAAAAAGAGCTTTTTCCGCAATTGGATACAATAGAATCCGTATCGCGTATATGATTATTGCATACAATAGAGTCGCGTCAGTTTATAAATTGATTTGTGATTTACAAAGTATGGAACCGTATGGTTCCAATTTTCATATTGGGGTTTTGTTCCATTTGAACAAAACTCATATTCAGAATGCGCACCGTTTTTCATCAAATCTCCATTTACAAACAGAGCAAAAATGGTGTGAAATATTCAGAATATCAGTACATGATATTTTGAGAAATACAGCAGTTCGAATGTCAACAAAGCGTTTGTTCACATTACGGACTGAACACACCACCACTGTCTCTTGTAACCCGGTGTGAACACCAGATTAGTATTCAAACCTTAAACCCTGAATGTAATATGCTCGGAGATTTCATTTATTGCAATTCAATGACTCATATTCGCACTTTAAAAACACAAGATCCACCAACAATATCTCGAATAATTTTATTACCTATTCGCATATAACTTTCAGTTGAGTTTTAAATAACCAGTCAGTCGCAAAATCGCGGCTTTTGAAAGCCTTTCTGACTGTGGATCTCTCACGTTTTATATAATCACACTATTCATCGTACCTCAAGGGAAGTTCAAAGCAGGCAGGATTTTTCCTTCACAACTTCCAAAACCAATCACGTACCCATCTCCTTGCGCATGCGCACTCATCACGACCTCGTCGCCATCTTGTAAGAATTTTCGTTCGACCCCCGGAGCGAGTGGGATCGTCTTTGATCCACGCCAAGACAACTCCAACATCGAGCCGTAAGATTCTGGAGTCTGGAAAGTATATTAAAACGATTATCAATGAAAGATGATCTACACTGATCCAGTTCAGTTTAGCTTTCCTCCTGTAGTAATACTTAAGAGACGTTCTTCCTAAAGGTCCAGTAAGGATCATCTCTTTTTGATCTTGTGTTACTGCAGGAGGAAACCTAAACTAAACTAACTTTATTTATACTGGATAGCTCTATCAGTTCTAAAGTGTTCTTCCTAGAGGTCCAGTAAGGATCATCATCTCTTATTGATCTAGTGTTACTACAGGGGGAAACCTAAACTAAACTAACTTTATTTATACTGGATAGCTCTATCAGTTCTAAAGTGTTCTTCCTAGAGATCCAGTAAGGATTATCTCTTATTGATCCATTGTTACTACAGGAGGAAACCTAAACTAAACTAACTTTATTGATAACTCTATCAGTTGTAAACTGTTCTTCCCAGAGGATCAGTAAGGATCAGTTCAGAACTGATAGAGCTATCCAGAATGAAAGCCAGGTTCTTTTCATTCATTGCAAAACAAATTTCCAAGCCGATTACAACAAATTCTCCAGCATTGGATAAAATTACTGCACCACACGACACTACTCGCAGCGAGCTCGTGCGTATTGGTCTTTCACAGGTACGTTACACTATGATACAAATCATAGCGTGCTTTTCCGTATGCCGAACTTAATTTGTAATACTTTTACAACGCTTTAATCTGGCCAATACTCACCGGTCCACTGATGGTTCCAGACGCCATGAGGTCACCAGGGCGGGCGTTACACCCTGTCACGGTGTGATGAGCCAACTGCTGTTTTGCTGTCCAGTACAGGTTCTTCATATTTGACCTGCAAACCACAGCGGGCTTGTCCATTCCTTCAGCTAGATAAACGACACATATCGCTTTAGCATAGCATAGGAAATACCACCCTACTTCAGCTGAAGTGACAGTGACAATTCACACGTAATTTGCGCATTGTTTGGAGTTGGCTAAATATACTTCAGACTCTTTCATTTCAGACTTCTAGCTTTTACTCTTACCTTTAATTCCAACTTCCAAGTCAACATTCAGGGAATATGGATCAGAATGTCGCAAATATGGCAGTGGCTGTGGATCCTGACAAAGAAATAGCAGTGTCAGTATAACTTTATTCAAACTAGTATGTATACCCAAAGTTACATGGGGTTTCCATACAATAGTATCAGTGTGCACCATCTGTCTCACCTGAACTGGGTTAGCAACCATAAATGGCTGTAAAGCTTCCATGCTGACCACCCATGGGGAGATGGTTGTGCAGAAGTTCTTGGCCAAGAAGGGACCAAGTGGAACGTATTCCCATTTTTGAATATCTCTGGCTGTACAATAAAAAATATTACCAGTGAGCTCAATATGAAACTGGAAGGCTAACTATAGTGATAACATGCCTGAAGCTGAAATGATCATTTTGAATTCAGCTGAAATACTTTAGCCCAAACATTCAGCTCTATATCAAAATTTTGAACCAATATGAGAAATTTCTATTCGGCATGGGCATTTTATAGACTTTGGCAAAATAATTAAGATTTTGATGGAAACTCACCACTCCAGTCGTTCATAATAACCATTCCAAAAATATGTTCATGGGCCTAAAATGGATTTATAAAATAGAAATTAAGGGAAAAAAAACAGTGTTCATTTTTTATTTCTCTACTCATTGTTAAAAATATTATTTAACACACTCACAAACAGGATTTCCTAAAAGGTTTAAACATATAATTACCCTGATCTTATCTACATATACCCTGAAGTTCAACTTTTGTTAAAATTAAGATTAGAATCTAAGTATCAGCTTGTTTGAGCATAAATTATATTATATATTTAAACATAGTATTTGCTTATAAAGCATTGAGTATCGTAAGTGATATTTGAACATAAATTAAATGCTGAAAGTGGTTCAGTACTTAGAACAAATTAGGATATAGTCAATATACAATTATGATTTGGTTTGGTCTTTAAGTGATCATTTGTCTCCACCTTCATAAATTGTTCAAATCCACAATCAAAATTAATTTATAATCAAAGTATTTTGTTTTACAATTACCTTTTGGACAGGGATTGGTTCTCCCTGGTTGTTCGCAGGCCCAACAAAAAATGCCTGGGGGACAAATAATATTAGCAAAGTCAAAAATATGGTCAGTCTAAACACTACTGTTTTAATTATAGTACACAACCTTTAAAACTTAACACGTACAAAATTCTAAATTCTCCATTATGGACATTTTATGACAACTCACCATTTCCAACTCAAAGTCTAAAATTTTACAAGGTCCAAAAACAGGAGGTTTATCTAAAGGAAGATGTTGAACACATCAGATTAAAAAGTCAATGAATGTTCAATCAATTGTATTGCAATTATCTTATTAAATATACATTCAATTGGATAGTTAATGCAGAACTATTTATAATTGTTCCAATAAAGACTAATTCACTTACCATCAACCATCCTGGATTGTCCCACAGGTCGCCTGACAGGAGTTCCTGATATGACAACTGAGGAAGCCCGACCATGGTAGCCAACTGGCAAATGCAGCCTTAAAAAAGAAGTTTTGTAAGTTAGAAAAAATCTTTTCATAGAAAAAAGGTATTTCATGGTCAGTACCTTCTTTTATTGGGTTATATGACATATGATACAGCAAACAATATTCAAATTACCAATTGGGAAGAAGAGCATTTTCTTTTCCTCTGAACAGAGTACCAATATTTGTAGCATGTTCTCGAGATGAGTAAAAGTCAGTATAGTCACCTGTTGAAAAAAGCCATTTCTTTGACAAATGTCCATCAGGTTTTTGTTATAATTACTGGTTAATGAATATACTTTAATAGTCTATTGGCCAATGAGTTGGGTAGAAGGTGGTTTATAAAAGTTTGTCAGTTGATATAACATATTGCTTTTGCAATTGCTATGATTCAAAACTCTTTCATTTACCTATATTAGCAGGAAGGTGCATAGTCACTTCATTTCTAGGAATAAGGCACTTGGATTGCAGCTCTGCATTATCTCTTAACACACCCTAAAACCAGAAAAGCCATTATTCCAATAGGTTGATCACAATTGTCTATGTGGAACAGCTTAGATCCATTTCATCACCTGAATGGCATATTTAGTGCATATATGAGGGTTGTATACGGCTATATATGCGGCCATTTGTACCTGATCTTTTGACAGAATGGACTGCAATGTTTGACGTGTTTCATGCCATGCTGCTGAACCAAGACTCATGAGTTTATTCAATGTGGCCTGTAGGAAACAACAATAATACTGCATATGAGTACACTGAAACAATGTATAAGTCAAAATAAATTACAATAGCAGTAAAAGTAGTAGTAATAGTAGTAAAAGTAGTAATAGTAGTAATACTAGCAGTAATAGTAGTAATACTATCAGTAATAGTAGTAATACTAGCAGTAATAGTAGTAATACTAGCAGTAATAGTAGTAATACTAGCAGTAATAGTAGTAATACTAGTAGTAATAGTAGTTAGTATAGTAATAGTAGTTAGTATAGTAATAGTAGTTAGTAGTAATAGTAGTAGTAATTGCAGTGTAGATTTGAGTTGTTAACCAATAGAGTGTTTTCATATAGGTACTTCCAATTCATATCATGCTGCAATAGTTGGTATTGTACTCAAGATTTACAATTCAGATTTAACTGGAGTTGTACCTAAGACATATTAAATTAACCAAAATTTATCAAATGCCTTTGGGTTTTTTTTAAATATGATTTTTTTTAACAAATGGATATTATAACAGACTTGGGGACATAACAAAAGCTCTAGACTAAGCTTTATGAAAAAAAAATAAACAGTTCGGGGCTGCATGACCAGCACCTTGATATTTCTATGGGATATTTTAGCCATGATCTTACATTTGAAATGTAAGCAAATGTTACATGCAAACTGCTAAAATTCTTGCTCAAAATTAGCTGGGTCAAAATATCAGTGGACATGCTTCAAGGATCAGACTGGCAGGAAGATTTCTCACATCACATCACATGCCTAGGGGCATTTAAACCCACCCCACCATGTCCACACCTCCAGCCTTCCCCTAGCTCAAAAATGGATTTCAAATTAGTGAAAGTAATTCAAAATTAATAGATTTGCAACCAAGAATACTAATCCCACATTAAACTCTGACGAATTATGGAAAATTAATCAACTTTCACTTCCAACAAAGTCGCATACCTCTTCAAATACATGTTGTTGTGATTGCATAACCGGTCCATTGAAAAGATGTTTGATTGCTTTCAAGTCCAGCACATATTCACCTATTGCAACACCAATACGATGGGTATTCTGTAAAAGTTACGAGAGACAAGATATAGAACATAATTTGACAATAAAAAGCAAATTGTACATTGCAAATGTACATATATTGAGAAATACTTCGTATACAGCACTCTTTCCAACTTACATCGCTGGATGTGGAGAATACGCCATAAGGCAGATTTTGAATGGGAAAATGTGAATCAGGAGCCACAGTAATGAAAGACATTTCGAATTTTAGTGTTAAAATTCGAAACTCTTATAGGACGAAATTCCAACAAGAACAATAATTAGCAATTTAGCAAATCTCCACGTGTTCTTCTCGTGTATGGAATTTATAAAAAAGGCCACAGCGGACCCAAAACAGGAAATGTTAAAAAATGGGGAAAATAACCTCCTTTTGGTATGGGGGGAGGGGGTGCTCATCTGTCGAATTATTGTATGAAAGGCTGCGCCCAACCTAAAAAGGGGAAAGTCGAAACAAGGACTAAGCCACAGGAAAAAAGGGTAAGAGGAACCTTCAAATCGCCCTCTATAATCCAACTCTCATCCTTAAGGTTTTCGATACAAATCCTACGCCTAATCCTCTCCGTCTTCCCCTTAATCCGATTTAGTTAGAGTAATAAATCGGAAGTACGTCAGGGCATAGCCCACCCTAGCATTTTTCTCCCCGAGAGGCAAACGTAACACTATATCGCTTTTCCTGTGCGGCGGACACCGAAATATTCTGTTTATTTTCTCAACTCGGTCGGACGGTTTCTAACTGGGAATCTATATAAGAGGATCTCTTTGCGATTTGACCAAGATACCGTGGGAGAAGATACTGTAAACTTTATAAGCTTTGAACAAAGCAAAAATGGCAAACGATCGTTGGTTTTATGCCGCATTGATTGTTGTTACAAGTGCCCTCATGAGAAGCGAAGGTGCGTGTGCTATTAAAAACATCGTTTGTTTTAATGTCATAGGATTGTCACGATATTAAAAAAATGTACACTAAGTTCAAAGAATACACTATTCATTCATGCTGAATAGTTTGCCGTCTGTTTTTATCTATGAGTTGTACGTTTCGTTTAAATGAAGAAGGTAGATTTATCGCCATGATCATACGATGGACCGTAAATTGATATCAAATGTTCTGTGTAAGATGCTTCAAGCAAAAACGCAAAAATAACTGTTTATGCAATATCCAGAAAGGAGAACATTGCAAACGTATCTGCATTAAAGAGAAACTTGGAAACTAGAGTTCCTGAGCGGGAAAGTCGGGGAATTAGTCTTTATAAAAGCAGTACGAACTAAGAGGCATTTTGTATAAACAAGGGATAATTTTTTTGGAAAGAGTCACGGAATCTTATTGAAAGTCCTCATGTATAGCCTAGATATTACTACGCAGTCGATTTGTAAGACCCAGAGGTTTGGCCTCAAGGCAAACTACGAAGGTTTGCGGCTTATTGTGCAAGGCACAGCTTTCTGCCTTGGAAAAACTGCGTGAAGCAAAACATTGCCGTCCGCTCGACATTCTTGTCTTTAAAAATCGCTATAAGGCATGCGCCGCCACATACTATATCGGTATATTACCGGCCTTTTTTGTACAATTGTTTGCTAAGATATCATCAAAACATGTTCAGTATAATGTACAAAGAAATGTGAAAGTATTTGCTCTCGTGCGATGAAAACAACGGCAAGGATTGAACAGACCGATACAATACAAGAGGACATTTGTTTGACATTAATATGTATTCATGATTTTGCCGATAATGTCCGTGGAACTAAAATTGTGTTGCAATTGTCGTTATTATTAAGTACTTTTTTTAAATCGAACTAGTTCATACGATATTTAAACAAATTCTGGTAATTTGAATATCCTAAAAATGTTTTGTTTGTTTGCCGTATGTCGAGGTCTCTCAAAAGCCATCGTGTGATTCTTGTTTTTGCGGTTTTTCCCAAGTACAGTTCTTTGGACCTTTTGACTAGATCTGCGCCTTTGATAGATCACAACTTGGGTAAAATGATGGACGTTTTATGCACTAATGAATATTTTCAAAAAGATTTGATCAATATATGTGAATTTTTTCAAACGGGCGTTTGTGGTTTCAGAAGTGCTGGTATTCATCTAGGACAGGTATTACAGGCTAAGAAAACAATTCTTTGAAGGAAACTGTGAGAATAGGAAATGAGGTTCATCGGGGAATTATGACATGGGGGTCAGGAAATATATCAGGATTATAATCTACAAGTGGCCATGTGATTGATATAGGTCTGCTTAGGTCTGCTCAATGGTATTCAATTGTTGTACATAAAAGTTTAGCACTATAGTAAATATTGTTTTTAGCCTCCAGGCTAATCTGCAAAAAAGGTCTTTATTTTTGCTTTTCCTGTGGTATTGAAATGATATTTGAGCTGGGCATTTTCATTCAAATTCATTTATCCCAAAAACCATGCATGCCCAGTTTTCTATAGGGCTGATGATCTGGTTGATAAGCTAATGATAGACCCAGTGTTTCACGCCCTTCCAGAAAATATGATAATTTGGCTATTGAATTTCATTTCTGACATCCACTAACCCCAATTATGTCATAATCAGGGAAACCTTGCTCTATGCCAAGTAAGGAACTTTCTGGAAAGCATATTATTAAGATATAAGCTATAAACATGGGTGCAACTGGGTGTTCAAAATTCTCATCCTTATCTAACATCAGATTACACAAACCCTCTTCAGTCCAGTGTTGAGATTCAGATTATTAATGAAAATATTTGCCAAAGTCAAAGCTCCTTTTATATGACAGAATTCCCTAATGCAAATATTGTGTTAACCCTTGTGAATGGGGGTATTTAAGAAATCTGATATGGTGATGCAAATCAATCAAAAGCTGGTTTTAGATTTATTATTCAAATGGTCTGTTGATGTATGCTGTTATAATTGTTTCAAATTGTTTACGAAAAATTGAAAGTACTAAAAATAGCAGATATTTATCATAGCAACAAGGGCTAACTCACCAACTACCAATGCATACACACCTGATTCTTTTATGCTATGCTCCTGTCAACTGAGCCATGTTTTTACTAGTTGTAGAATTAATGAATTTAATTTTTTTTACCTGCAATGAATTTTTTTTATCTGCATTTATAGCTATAATGAAGCCAAAGGGTGAAAAACTTGTATGTCAAAGCTCATTCACAAAAAGTGGCAAATGTGAAACGAAACTTTCGTGTTATATGTACCTGACGAATAGGAATAAGGATAAGCCCCACCTTGGTTGCGTTGACAATGATAATTCGCACCTATTCATGTGTAATGCTGTTCCCATTTTATTGGCAAATGCTGTAATGAGGATATGTGCAATGCCAAATTGAACCTGACCTTCACTTTTACAGAGCCTACAACTAAAGTACACCCCAGTAAGTTGTTTTTTGCATATTGTGTTTTTAATAGCATTTTTTACTACCAACATCTCAGTAATACCTTTCTGATACCTCTGACACCTCAATACAACACAATCCTCTCTTAAGGTCACTTACTAATACAGGCAACCACCTAATACTCAAATGGACACCTCTTTGTTACACACAGATCCCCAATACAAACAGCTTGCTAATACAGACATCTTACTAACACAGACACCTCCCTTATATAAACACCTTTTTAATATATTATAGACACATGTTTAATGTGAACACCTCTACTGTACAGACACCCCTGTAATAGGAACACTCCTCTCTAATACATACACTGTATAAAGAATCTTCTTTCATATAAACAACTCTCTAATGAAAAGGCACACTTCCAATACCAGTGCCTCTCCAATTAGCACACCCTTTTTCAATACACTCCTCTCTAATGCACACACTTCCTTGATATGAAGTTCCCACTCAATACAAAACAAATTTCCCAAGGTGTATCCTCCAAGTTTAGGAGAAGTTTGTCTTGCCCTTATTTATTGTAATATAAACCTTTTCGTTTCAGCTGAGCAGATGACAAAGGTGGTATATATTGGTTATGGTCGTACTGTGATCATCGCTATATGCATCTCTGCACCAGTCTGCCTGATTACTCTTGCTGTCATGCTTTTTATCTACCTAAGAGACAGACGTTTATCTATGCTTCACAAAAATCTTATCGAAAGTGATTTAGAAGTTGGGGAGAACAAAATGCCTGAATCTATCCAGGAAATTATCGAATATGATCAAACATATTCAGGTTGGTTTGAGATTTCCTGCCTAATACTCTTATTAAGACTATAATACTCTTATTCCTGAGATTTAAAATCATGCCAAATTCACTTCTGTAATTTTTAGTGCAAATTCCCAAGGCTTTTCACGTAATTCATACCGTACCATAGCATACCATAGCATACCATACCATAGCATACCATACCATACCATACCATACCAAGTTATTTGAAGCCCATCCCTCGTGATGTAGAAACATAGAAAAGGTTGCATATACAGTAACATTACCTACGATAACGTTTTTCATCTAACTTGGTTACATAGGAAGCGGTTCAGGTCTTCCGTTGTTGATCCAAAGGACAATTGCGAGACAAGTCGTTTTGCACGATTGCATCGGAAAAGGACGCTACGGCGAAGTGTATCGTGGAAAATGGCGAGGCGAGGATGTCGCCGTGAAAATATTCTCCACTCGAGACGAATGCTCGTGGCGACGAGAGACGGAAATTTACCAGACGGTCATGTTGAGACACGAAAACATCCTAGGTTGGTTAATTCACGTTTTTTTTAAACTTCGCTCATTTAACTATTGGATTGTTTTGCCTCATTAATTTTGCTTCATATATGCTCTAGTTAAAGATTTCTCGCGTTTTTTCCTAGGATTCATCGCTGCCGACAACAAGGACAACGGTACATGGACTCAGCTGTGGCTGGTGACTGATTACCACAAAAATGGTTCGCTTTGCGACTATCTTACCAACGTGAAAGAACTGAATGTCAACTCTATGCTGAACATGGCGATTTCCGTTGCCTCGGGACTTACTCATCTCCACATGGAAGTTCGTGGAACTAAAGGAAAACCTGCCATCGCCCACAGAGATTTGAAGAGCCGCAATATCTTGGTGAAAAATGACGGTAAATTCCTGCTACTGTACGTAGCTACTCCTTGCATTTGTAACGGAAAACTTCTGTATGGCACATTTGAGTATTTAAGAATATGCGAAAAACATCCTTGTCCTGTGTCTGTTTCAGTCATATCCAATCATCAAAATATTCAATTATCTTTTCATTGTTTTGAAATAGATCGATGTTCTCTTCTATAGGTCGTGAACCCAGTGATGATAAAATTCCTTTATCTTTTCATTATTTTTATATCAATGTTTTCCATATCGTTCAGTCATGATCCATTATGCCAGTTATGATCCAATCATCAAAATATTCAGTTATCTTTTCATTATTTTGAAATATATCAATGTTCTCTAGGTTATAATCGAGTGATGACGAAACTCCTTTGTCTTTTCATTATTTTTATATCAATGTTTTCCATATCGTTCAGCCATCATGGCAGTTAATCATTTATGATCCAATCATCAAAATATTCAATTATCTTTTCATGATTTTGAAATATATCGATGTTCTCTAGGTTATAATCGAGTGATGACGAAACTCCTTTATCTTTTCATTATTTTTATATCAATGTTTTCCATATCGTTCAGTCATGATCCATCATGCCAATTATGATCCAATCATCAAAATATTCACTTATCTTTTCATGATTTTGAAATATATCGATGTTCTCTAGGTTATAATCGAGTGATGACGAAACTTCTTTATCTTTTCATTATTTTTAAGCGTTTTCCGCACTAATTGTGTCTTTCTCTTTAATTTTGTAACTACACTTTTAAAACACCCATTTTCAACTGTAATGAAAAAGTCCTCAATGTTCCATACCGCATCCCATTCACTCAGTATATTTCCGACTAACTTTCATAATCGAGCAAATGTGTATTGTTTTTCAAAGGCTCGTGCTGTATTGCCGACCTGGGTCTTGCAGTATTTTACGATGCTGGCAGCGACTCATTTGACCTGCCTTCCGGCAGCCGTGTTGGAACGAAACGTTACATGGCGCCAGAAATTCTGGACGACACAGAACCAAAGACTTTCCACGAATTCAAAAAGATCGATATCTATGCCATGGGATTGGTTCTTTGGGAGATTGCAAGGCGATGCGCCTTCTCAGGTATGGAAATGATCGTTTATCCTTTCATATATTGTGAAGTTTGTAGCACATTGTCTTCACAACTCTATCACAACTCAGTCATAATCTTCACAATTCTATCTCAGAAGATCTTTATTTTCTTCCGCGGAATCGAACGTTGCGTGATTTTTAGACCGTTGCGTATATTTCCACAGGTAACCCGAGCGAAGAGTATCAGCTGCCGTTCTACGAGAAAGTTCAGTCTGATCCCAGCATTGAAGAAATGAAGGAGACTGTTTGTGTCGAGAAATTCCGACCGGAGACTCCGAAGACATGGGAACAAAATCCGGTAAGATACGTGCGGATAATCGTATCGGTGTTTCTGTCTATTGCATGCGTAAATTGTTACACCATCGTGGGCCAAAATTTCCAAGAAAATCGCACTAGACTTGAGATGAACATATAATAATGTACACCAACACATTTTTGTCTATTGCCACAGGTCATGAAGGGGATTGGCAAGGTTATGAAAGAATGTTGGTATGAATGCAATGCCGCCCGACTTCCAGCTCTGCGAGTGAAGAAGACTCTGATCAATCTGAGATCCAACGACCCAGTGGATGTATAAAATGAGACGGAGAAAGCCGTCGCTTGAGCGAAAGAGGATATATGTCGACATTATACTTCGCCGTCTTTTAAAGTGAACTTGATGAAGATTTAAGCGCGTGGCTGTGTTTCAAGAATGGTGGTATTTTTGAAGAGAGAGAGACTTTCTGAACAAAACAATGCAAATACTATTGACCAAGTCATATTAACCATACCCAATGTCATATAGGAAATAGTTTTAACAGTGGCGTAGATTTGGGAGAGCTAACTCAGCCAAAACTGGGCAACCAAGGTTGCTAATGAAATACATGATCCCGAGATGTATGATAGAAATCGTACATGGATATAGGCGAAGCCTTAAAACTTTCCCCCCTATCCTAATATTTACGCCACTGAGTTTTCAGGGCACCCTAGTAGCAATTTTCGCTTGTATTTACTGCATTTAGGAAACTAAATGTATCGTTGCACCCGCCCCAGTTAGAAACCAATAGAGAGAGAGAGAGGTGTTCAAGTGTATATATTATATATAGGTATTTTTTGAACGTTACATATATAAATTAGCTGCTATGTGTACGGGCCAAGGGGAAGTCGCGCCTGAATGTCTTTAAAAAATGATTCCCAGTCGTAATGTGAACAAACGCCTTGTTTACATTTTGGACTATTAAGGCTTCTTAAAATACGAAAAAGGTGGTTTTAAACAAGTCTTTTTCCAAGGGTATACCACTACTTGTACGTCATTCCTTTTCAGGTTTTTTTGAACATTTCAACATTGAAAATCACCTTTATTGCTTTAATAGGCTTTTTACGCACTGGGACACCGAGCCCTTTACGACAAATACCAAGTCCAAGCTTACAAAAGGTCAGAAGGCAAATTTTTAAGACGTGAGCGCTTCGTAATATTCATTGCCGTACTGCTAGTTAGTATTTTGTTTCTTAATGTCTCTGGAAGTAGTTATATTTTTCTGTTTCGAATTTATGTCAGAACTATATAGTTCTTAGAACTAAACATAATCGCAAAATTATATTGATGTATAGTATTAAACATTTCAAACACTGCTATCGTAACCAATTTAATTTCGCAAAGAATTGTTTTTTTGAATCTAATCTATGACTATGTAGTTTTTCGGTTTGACAGGCCCCTGCGCATGCGACGAATTGTGGCAACACCAGTTTAACAGCCTCGTTTTGAGAACATGATTAGTCCAGTTATATTCTTTATCGTATAACTGCACAAAGAGCATCGATTTTGCACAAGTATCATTACTTAAAACTTATTTTAAACACACAAAGACTTACTTTCCATTTACTCTGTCGTGGCTGTCTTACTAACTTAGTTGAGTGCACAGAGTCACTTCCACTTTCAAAACTTTCATTTACACCCTTTCTTGCATGGGAACCATGGCAGAGACTTCACCAAACAATTTGCAACCATATATGGCTACAATATCATCCTTTCAAGTGTCATTTTAACCTTGATAAAAAAAATCAACCACATTAGATTTGTACATATAGATAAGATTTAGTTTTAAGTGTAATTTTGTTACAAGGATGTGGTTTCACACTTTCACTGCTAGTTTGGATAAGTTCTTAATTGCCCATTGTTCGAAGTTGGATTTGAGTGGAGTAAAAAATCGAAGTTAACCTTGGGTTAAGCTAACCAGGTTTTGAACAACTGGCCCCAATAATTTTTAAACAATCTGCAATGTGTTCTCTGTATAGTATCATCTGGGACCAGAGACTCTGATCTAGAACCAGACTATTTCTTGCTTATGATGACATAATGTAAATTAATTCTACCTGAATTAAGTTTTGTTTTCCAGGTGCATCGTTTTAAACTTTAAATAACCAACTGGAGCGAAAGCATCATCAGAGTGAATTACTACATCTTGTGAATCGCTGGAGAAATGAAATAAAATTTAAGACTTTTATTGAGAAGAGTTTAGGACGTTTATTGCAATATAGACAGCTTGCAAAATCCTTGAAATGTATGCTGTCATGACCATTTTTGTGACCGACTGCTGTGCAACAAGTATTTTATTATATCCTTAAAAAATATCAAGGGAGAAAATCATATGTGTTGCATTTGTGTGAGGTTTGTACACCTTTGTCTTTTACCATTCAGCCAATAATTTAAAAATTTAAAACAGTAAATCGAAAAGCAAATATCCTACTAGCTATAACTTGGCTTGACACTTCACTTACATCACAATTCTTTTCTTAAATAATGGACAGTCCAGTGTAAATGTTTCATATTCCCCGCCCTCACCACAAACGTTGCAATCAAACTTCTCATTCTAGAATTTAAATCATTTGTAAACAAAATAGTTTATGTCAAATGTCAATACTTACAAAAAACAAGATGTACGTCTCACAATATGCCAGGTGAAATATTTAAGTCCAGATTGAGCAGACTTACAATTTTAAGAAGGTGAGAATGCATTTCAGATATGGTTTTTCCAAGATGTTTATTGGGCTCTAAACCTGCAAAACCAAGTGTCAGAATTAGAAATAGATGGCAGAACAGGGGGTGTGTGTACTCTTTTCTTAAACAACAGTCTCTGTTAGACTTCATAGAGGTCATAAGATAGTAGAGTCAACCCAAAATATGTTTCACCTACCCATTGTGGCAACTTTAATGATAATGGCATTAATTTGTGAATCAATCATCTCTTTGAGAAGCTTTTTCTGATCTCTCTCCCAAAGATAGGCCAAAGAGATTAGACCCAGACGTGAACACCTGAATTACAAAAATAAAACCCATTAAATATTGCTGGCATTTTCTTTCTTTTGCTACCAAGTACTCTATAAATTTTCTTTTAGGGAATGAGTACTGTCATGCAGCTATCATACATACATGCAGAGGGCTATTTTCAAAATGAAAACTATAATCATACAATTCCTATCACACATCTTAAGATACCAAAAGGCATTCTAAAGAAAACCCTTTAGAAAGTCCCTGGCTTTGTTGCGTTTGCAACACTACAATTTATCCACTGAGAAAAAATGCAACTCATAGGTGCTCAAACCGAAGCAAAACTTGCAATTCCAGTGTTGATATATTGAGAGCTTTATGATTTAGTTTCATGATTGAAGAAACTTACACATTTTCAACTCTGACTTTTTGGTAATTAGATAATATTGCACCAGATGAAACACCCTCGATATGGACTTCAGCCTAAAAAATCAATATGGAAAAAAAAACAGTTGGTGAAGCGAACTTTTGCACATTCAATTAATGATCATTTCAGTTCATTCACATAGCAAGTGTAAAAGGTAGTCTTCATCTTCAGACAAATTGAGTTGACTTTAAAGAAATATTTACAGATGGCAAACTTTGTCAGTTTTCCAAAGCACAGATACTCCATTACTTACCATAACCTCTTTTAGCAGCTCATACAAGTCTTCAACTTCATCTTCATTATTGACGATGTAATCTTTGCCCTGTTCAACAGCTCTTCCTTGAATTGTACGTCGAAACAAGGGCAAGTCCATGGCCTTGGAGTAAAGCTTTATTGCATCATGACCAACAGTTTGATACATGTAGCTGTCCATCTCATCTGGCAATACAAATTGCATTAAAACAATGAAGTTCTGTCACAAAAAGGCATTCTTTTATTTAATTTCTCTAAACTTTGATCCAGGGGAGCCAGTTTTGAGGAACTAATACACAATCTTTTGTCCTTCCCAAGAGATCCTGACCATGCACCTAAAAAAATTTCCAATATCCCCACTTAATGAAAAACAAGAATCTCAAGTTCAATAGAGACTTCCCCATTCACAATACTCCCATTGCTTATAATGCTCCCATTAGTCCTAAACCCCTGAAGCTCGTTATGGAGAATATGACATACACCATGCAATGCTTGTGAGCTTAGAGCAGTTCAAAAATTTAGACACAAAATGGGTAGATTGAAAATTGCAACACATGCTGAGGTTTATTTAAACACGATCGACGGGTCACCATCTTTAAAGGGACAAACACGTGTGTGCATGTTGTAAACAAATAAAACAATTGTAACATCAAACGATGTGCACTGAGATATGTACATAACGTGATCGAACTATTCAAGCAAACCATACTTCGTAAGGAAGTGTAACCTCTACGCTATAAACACACCTGTATTTTGCGGCGGTTTTAGGTTAGCTAACGCTACTATTTCGTGGCCATGAGCAACACATTGCATCATGTTGTAGCAACTGTCCTTCCCACCGCTATAAAAACGAAATAAAACATATCTAAGAGCTAGAAATAGGCCGAACAATCCAGCATAAGATAGGGAGAGATGTTTACCTCACTAGCGCGACGACTTTCATAACTTAAGAGGGGGAAAATCGCAACGAAAAAACGTGAAAAGAAATCACATTTTAGCAAGAAATTGAAAATACCTCCATTACACCACGTGACCACTGTCGTCCCAGTTCTTTTTCGGTTGACACGTAACGAAACGATCCAAACAAAACGAACGCTTTGAACACGAACGTTAAACGGGGTGAGTTCTTCTCATAGCCAGTAAAGGCCAGTACTATTTTACACTTTTCACAATTTTTGCTTAGATTCTAGATCAGATAACCCTTTCTTTTTTAGATGGATGTGAACGATTGGATAAGTTACGGATGTTCAAATATGGGCACTTATTTATCAGAGAAATGAGAGCACTCGTAACTCTTCGCTCGTTTACATCTATCAAAAGACGAGTATCGCAGCAAAGCTAAGTAAATTTCCTGGTTTCTATATTAGAGATATTAGCAATCTGAATTGATCAAAATCTTAATTGTAAACCTAGCCTTACACTAACACTAACAATAAAGGATTATTAGATTAAGGATCAGATTTGTGGATTCTAGACAAAGATTAAGTAATAAATGGCTTTACTTCAAAAATATCTTCATAACAATTACAAAACACTTTTAATCGTACTGTGTCGTACATTACATTTACAGTTGAAAGACTGGCAGTTGTTATAATGATAAATAGTGCTGATCACTGAAATTAAATCGTTCTAAGCTACATTAGCCGTCTTGAAACAACAGCTAGTACAAATTTCGAATTCTATGCTGCTATCGATTTAAAACGAATTTTAAAAAAAACGACCTTAAAAACACGAACAAACACTATTTTGAAACTGCCAATTTTTCAACAGTAATACAGTACAGCACCACCTAAAAGTAACCGCGTTTTTGGTGAACACGTTACAACCATAAAGTAGGTTGCTTCTGTGTGGTACTGTACAGGCCAGATAGTCTTTAATTACCAAATTTTAATCACGTGGCACGAACAACTGTCTGACATTAATATTTCGCGGTGGATTTTATCATATAGCAATGTGTATCTAAGTTGAATTCATATTAACTGGCATTTACAACATTCTGGCTCTAACTCATGACGCCAAATACGGGGTTATGACGGCAAATACTTGGCCCGATTTCGTCGTATTGGGCTTTCGTGTGACATACAGAATAGAATTCAGGCTGTAAAATAAAAGTTGTGTACTTGTTAATAACAGAATAAAGGTTATACTCCTTTTTGACTATTAATATACTTGTTTTAATGTATTAAAACGACTATAAGCTAAAAGGTTTGCACTAACTACCTTTCAGATGAGTTAAAATGTTTTCAAATACTTACAGTCGAAGCAAGCATACTACCACCAAACCAGACTGCATATCGCTGCATGTGATGAGTAATTACTTGGACATCCACTGGTTTAGGCTAA